ATTTTATTATATGTTGATGTATGTACGCAATGTAGAGGTCTGCCGTGATCAATATAAGTTTTTAAGACTATAATAAACAACATATTATTAAATCAATGGCAGATCTAGTCAATTACTTTCAAAATTTTGCATTTTCAATGCAATTTTGCATTTTCAAAGTGGTCTGCCACAAAGTAAAATGCGCGATAATGGTCTGCCATTCTTATTTTCCGATAATAATAATCATATATTTTCAAAATTTCAAAACGGCAGACGTGGTCAAATGGATTTAAAATCCGTCAAAATCGGTACCTGTCCTACCTGAGCGCTCGGCGCGTCGACCACTTTGAGCTTAATGAGTCCCCACCTCATGCATGGTAGGTATAGGGGTCTCAATGTACGAAAATTCAGGTCTGGTCAAATACATACAGGTAGATCCCACGGGCTCTCGGGCTAATCCGTACACGGCGTGAATAACTTGACAAGTCGACTAATATCAAATTTTAACTTATAGCAGGATTGTCGTCCAGATTACTTGTTTTATATGGGGAATAAATGAGTAACTCGATTCTCTCACGTATTTTTGGGATATCGCACTTGTGAATTACTAAACAACTCTGTTTCCAACGAGAACATGATGACATTTAGATATATCTAAACATATTAGTGTTATTTATTTATATAACTCAACACGTTAAGTTATTTACGCCACATAATTAATTGAACTAACAGAATACCTTTAGATGATCAATTATTCACATAGCCCATAATTGTGTTCGCGACTATACATATTCGGTTGTCAAGTTATTACCGGCATGAAAAAGCATAATAATATTCAGAAAAAAGAAAGAATAAAGATGAAGCAAAGTGCAACTCATCCAGTCGAACATGTACATATGATCTTCAGCAGTGCTTACCCACCCCCTATCTTAAAACTTCTGTTTCTTTTTATAAACGACCGCTATGGTCCTACAATCTCACAATCCATGATTTAGCAACTAATAAGGCTACATGTTACATGTAGGACGAAACCATCGGTGCTCGTGAAATCGCGTCGTGAGATACATGTGGAGGCCAAAACAAAAATAATACGGATGCAATGATGTTCATGTATTTACTTTATGTGTATCCAACGCTAGAAACTATTAATCACAAGTTTCTTGGATTGTGATTCACATGATGTGTGATTCGGATCATGTCTTGATTGAGAGAACCAAACAGAAAAGGCGACTTAATATTAACTATCTATTTTAATGACTGGTTGCAACTCATAAGATCTTGTAAGATTAATAACGCATATGCTGTTGTACCAATAAAGTGCGAAAATTTCCTAAATGAAGTTCGAAAAAAGAGCCATTCACGATTAAAAAAAGACAGTTCCGAAGATAAATTCTTGTGGCAAACTATAAAATGGCTGCAATACAAAAAACCTATTGGAGAAATACGTTTCAAGATAGATTTGACAGAGAAAGCTCTTTTAAGGTAATCAACTTTCAGAAAAGAAGCAAATATAATATAGACGTAGTGTATATAACGTCCAGATAGAAGTTGTCTCCAAAGACATCTTGCCAATAAGTACAGAAAAGAGAAGAATTTGGTGGATTTATTACCTTTAATAGACACAGCATTTCACGATTTTTATAAAAACATAAAGACTGACAACCCATCAAAAAATGCCACGACTTAGATACTGAAGACCCTGATTTAGAGAGAAACGGAGAAGAACAGTAAAGAATAATAGAATAGTAATTCCAGAAGCAGAATAATTTCAGTTTCTTTTAATTAATAAAAAATATAATTAAGTACAAGTTTTGGGTTTTAGTTTGAGATTGATCAATTCAAATGGCTTATTATTACATCATCATTCTCCTGCCCTTCTCCCAGTCACCTGGGGTCGGCACAATGTGTTTTCTCCTTCCATACTCCTCTATCATATAGCATTTCTTCGCTCACTCTTACACATATTGTCTTTTACGCAATCCATCCATTTCATCTTAGGTCTACCTCTTCCTCTATATCCTTCCACATTTATAGTTAATACTCTCTTATCAACCTCATTTTCATTTCTTCTCAGCACATTTTTTTTATTGCTTAGATGGGTGGACGAGCTCACAGCCCACCTGGTGTTAACTGGAGCCCATAGACATCTACATCGTAAATGCGCCACCCACCTTGAGATATAAGTTCTAAGGTCTCACATGTCTATACTATCGCATCACATCCCATCCCATCTCACCATCCAACCACCATCAAATGGCTATTACATATTTATGTATTTTTTTTAAATCTCTTATGTTAACAATCTTATTACTTTTCTCGGATTTTAATAAATTGCTTAGGTGAATAAATTGACAAGTCGTCGGTGAGCAACTTGATATGTCATTTTTTTCTTGATTAAAACGTTAATTTATTATTATACTTACACTGTGTGAAAATTCCGATGAAATTACTTAAATACGCATAAAAATTATATAAAAGGATTAAAAAATAGATTTACCAATAATATGTAAACTTAAAAATGGCTGCCCTGAAAAGTATGCATTTTCGACTTGTCAATGTATTCACGCCGTGTACGGATATAGCCTTCTTCAATAAATGAGCTATCTAACACTGAAAGATTTCAAGTCGGACCAGTAGCTCCTGAGATTAGCGCGTTCAAACAAACAAACTCTTCAGCTTTATAATATTAATTAATATTTAAATAATAGTATAGATTATGAGTTTATAATTTTCAGACTTCGGAAACAGTCAAATTAAACAAATATAAGAATGCCGTTGTTAGAATTCAATTTCCCGATCATATGATTCTACAAGGTATTTTCGCTCCTACTGACACAATCGAGGATGTCACAAATTTTCTGAAGGAACATTTAGCGCATCCTGAAAAACCATTTCATATCTGTGAGTCAAACGAATTTATTAATTTTTCAATTACAGCTTTTTTACTAAAAACGGTGGGTTGTTACCGTTATCTATAGACGGCACTGTCACGCGATCCATCGTGAGTCATGACGTTTAAGTCGCAATACTTAGGTTTCAAACTAGAACATGACGTTTAAGTCGCAATAGTTAGGTTTCAAACTAGAACAGCTAAGTACGTCTCTGCAAAAATAGGAACATGGTGCGGCTCATAATACGCCCTACCATTAGTAATTATGCAAATTCATTAATTATAGAGATCATTTGAACACGTGACACATGTTTATGTAGAAAAATTTTACCTACCCTCTCTAACTGTTAAATAATTGGTTTCATTCTGAAAAAAAAATTGTGAATATTATCTTTTCAGTTACAACACCTCTAAAAGAAACATTAGAACCAAAGATGACTTTGCTTGAAGCCAGGTTTGTGCCATGTGTGCATATGCATTTCAAATGGTTGGAAGAGAGTCCAGATTCCTTATACTTGAAAAAAGAAATATATTCCAACACTACTACTAGTGATGCTGCTAGTATTTTAGCTTCAAAATATCGGTAAGATTTATTTTATTAAGGAATGTAAAAAATGTAAGGAATACTCGACAAATCCCATCTTACTTCAAAGTGTCAAATTAGAAGTGAAGCACATTGTTTAATACTTGATTAATTACAGGGCTCCGAGTAGGAGAAAGTTGGAAGAAATACACAACTCGCACACGAACTCCCCAACTACATCGAAAAGCAGTAAAGTTCCGAAATGGTTCAAGAATTAAATAACTGTATCAGGTAGAAGCATCTCGCTGCTTTTAAATAATGGAAATACTTTAGTACTGATTAGATGGCTTTAAAATAAATAATTTGAAAATAAAATTCAACTGTTGCAAAATATTTTTATTCAAGATTAAACGATTATTAGTGTATTTACATTGAAGTTCACTAAATTATTTCATCATAATATTAATTATAATTAATAATAATTATTATTATTTACATCGTAATAAAATTAACAGTAAGTTTCACTCAAACTGAATGAATGACGGCAGATTTCCTAGCTTACATCGAATCGGTTTTATTACGCCACAATCTGCTTTGGTATCTTCGAAGTTTGGCTTAATGTCCCGATAGTATCTGCAATCCATATTTCTTTCATTTTGACTTTCTTCAACACTTTCATTCTTATTTGGTTTTTCCGTATGTTGATTTTTTACTTTTAACAATGTTATTTGTTTTGTCCTCATCAATCGTTTTTTTGTTTGATTGGTAATATTTACATGTCTATATTCACATTTTGTTCCTCTTTCGCAATATCCCTTAAGAAAATCTGAGCACAGTTTAGAGTTTTTATTTAATTTTACATGTAAATAGGGACAATTTTCTTTAGTGCACATTCCCTTAAGATAAAAATAACATGTAGGCATCTTCTCACTTGTTATATCGTGAGATAATAGACAAGTATCCTCATGACNATTGGTAATATTTACATGTCTATATTCACATTTTGTTCCTCTTTCGCAATATCCCTTAAGAAAATCTGAGCACAGTTTAGAGTTTTTATTTAATTTTACATGTAAATAGGGACAATTTTCTTTAGTGCACATTCCCTTAAGATAAAAATAACATGTAGGCATCTTCTCACTTGTTATATCGTGAGATAATAGACAAGTATCCTCATGACAAATACCTTTTAAAAATTTGCGACAAATGGCCACATGTTTTTTATCATGCAAAAATTTACAATTTCCTTTTATTTGTCGTATGCATTTCCCAAATTTTTTGAACAAAGGGCACGGTATATTGTTTTTTCTTAATTTACTAGATTCAATGAAGATTTTTCTTCTGTTACACAATTTTTTCGAAACACTACCAATGTTTTTGTTAATTTCGTTGTATTTAGTTTTGGATAGGTTCAAATTGTCGGATCCAATTTTATTTAAATGGATATTGCATAATTTTGGTAGACTTGAAACTACATAAGAATTTTGAATATCCATGGTACGTCTTCTTATATCAGTAAAAGGGACAGATTTATACTTATTCAATTTAAATGTATTTGTTTTTGAATTTAAATTCTCCTTTATATTTTTATTTTTGTTGCGTATTAAACTGTAACGAGAGGTAACTACTTTATTATCTGTTACTGTTGCTTGTCTATCTGCTGTTTTTTTTAATGAGATATTTTCATCAATATTATACTCGTATATTTTTTTTACGTCGCTATTTCCAATAGATATCGGATTACATTCAAGTCTAGGAGCAGATCTCATGAAGTTTGGATTAACAAAGATTTTATTTTTGGTTTCATTTTCTCTTAGATTCGAAAATTGACGATTTACATACATGAAGTTTTTGTTCAAGAGCATGTTTTTATTGACTATGGAAGTGGCCGTAAAATTAGGGTTAATGTACACTTTTTTGATACTATTATCTTTGGAAGCACTCATTTTCTATCAAATATATTATTTCTATCGATCTGATGGTAAATGGTACTGAAATGTCTTATTTCCGCTTTTACAGTAAACTTTATCAATAAAAATATTTTTTGCTGATTCCTGAAAATCTGGTGTCAAGATTTGATTTAATTTGTCAAGAGCACCATTAGTCTCTGTCTCTTTATCCCCATTAGTCCAAAGTATGCTCATGTGGAAAGAAGGTTCCTATAAAAACAGTATAAACATTATATACACATTTAAACATAAATAATTAATAACATTAAAATTTATTATAACATTAACATAATGTGAATATTGATACACCTAAAAACTAAAAAAAGAATAGTTTAGAATAGTTTTTAGGTATTTTTAGTATTCAGCTAGTTAATTCCATCCACATAGTGACTGATATTTATATGAAGACCCATTTAATGCTACGCAAAGAGCATGTAACATTATCATCATCATCATAATCTTCAGCACTTTGAAACCCACTGCTAGGCATAGGCATCTCCTTTTTATACCATAATAAAGACTTGTTGAAAGTGAGTTCACTAATAAAAATTACACAGGTCATAAATAATTCTCATTCCTAAGGTTTCCTCTATGTATGGTATTGCCATCCATGGTAAAGTTATCTCAAAAGCATATTTATGTATAACAATATAAAAATACACTTAACAGAAATAGTAAGCTTCTACCCAGACCTATCTGGATATCATAAAGGCTCCAGTAACCATTGCAGAACTAGGTAAGCAGTGTATTCATAAATAATTAAAAAATAAAAAGTATACCTACATCATAAAATTTCGGTAGTTTAAATTCACTCAATATTTCATCAACCTTCTTAGTTATAGCAAAAAAGTGCTTATGACTAAAACGATTTATTTTCAACACAACAAATGTCCTAGATTTATCTTCATTATACAATACTTGCAGCTCATCAAATTCAAGTTCAAAACTATAAAAAAGAAAGGATTTTGAATGTTTTAGTAAACTTTAAAGGATAACATATACGTATTTACTGTCCAAATGTATAGTTATTATTATATTTCAACTTATTAATTTGTAGGCTCCAGTGACAAAAAGTCTATGCAAATAAAATCATATATAAAAAGTTATATATGAGCAAGTTGAAGAGTATTTTCACAGTTGATTATTTGATTTTAATTTGGAAATTTTCAAAACAACAAATCAAATTGTTAAGAACTTTGTTGTTAAGCTTAACTACCTAGTTGTTAATTTGCGAGTATAAACTAATCAACTCACCATTTAATATTTGTTAAAGTTTTTTTTAAAGAATTGTGAAATGGTGCTATCCAATGATAATTAAGGACAACTGTTTTTGATAAAGTAATGTGGAGATTTTCACATTTATGCCAAGTATGAGATGATTCTGTTAAGGCATCTAATACTTTTCTACTCAATTTATTAACAAAGTCATCATTAGGATCTGAAATAGAATAGAAAAATTCAATCATGTCTCAAAACAAAACAGTTTTAATTCCACAATAAACATCCATGCGTTATTTACGTTATTACAGAGGTGTAACAAGTAAAATAATATTTGATGGTGTTTACATTTAAGGCAGTCGCCAATCACAAAAACCTATATTGTAGCAGTAATGTTTATCTAATGAAAAAAATAAACATTTTGGATTTATACATAAAAAATATAAAACCATAAAAATACTTTATCCATATTGATATACGATATCCAGTATTACTACTGGATATCCTATAGTACAACAACAGCAATGTCCATAATTACTCTGGTCTTCTTAAAATAGGGAAATTCATTAGAAAGTTATTTAAAGATATTCTTAATAACTAAGCACTGAATTCAGCAACTCTTTTTTGACAATTTTTAAATATTTTGAATTTAAATACATTTAACTGACTAACAAACAAATTTCCATACTGAAATGTAAACGCTCTCCATTTGGTTTCACAGAAATTTAGATGATTGATTCGTGACTTAAAGTCAACAGAGACATGAGTTCTACATCTTAATTACGTAGAAATAATGGCTAACCTATTAATTAAGCTGGATTTTTGACTGCTTTGCAGCAGAAATAGGCATCTGTTGTAGACTTGCACATGATCAAACCTTGTCCTGCCATCTTATGCAACTTATTAGGCTTAGAAGAAAACACAAATATTCATTATTGATTTCCACCGTGAAAGAATAACATCGTGTAATAAAAATGAAACCCGCAAAATCATAATTTGCATAATTACTGGTGGTAGGATGTCTTGTGAGTCCGCTCGGGTAAGTACCACCAACCTGCCTATTTCTGCCGTGAAGCAGTAATGCGTTTCGGTTTGAAGGGTTGGACAGCTGTTGTAACCATATTGAGACCTTAGAACTTATATCTCAAGGTGGATGGCGCATTTGCGTTGTAGATGTCTATGTGTTCCAGTAACCACTTAACACCAGGTGGGCTGTGAGCTCGTCCACCCAACTAAGCAATAAAAGAAAACTTTTCCTATAAAATCTTTACATACATTGCACATAGACGAAAGTAGCCCAGTTTCCTCTTACATGTGGAAAAGAACGTTTTCGGCCTTTATGTTTTTGATGATCGTCTATGTGTGTTTCTTCAGTTAAAACTATTCGCACACGACTGAGATCTGGAACTGGTAATTTCACTCTGAAACAAATAAAGTTTATTATCAGGAATATGTTGATAAAAAATAATCAAAAATCAAATAATAATGCAGGTAGTATGACCTTTTGTACAAATGTTGTTCAGTTTCACTGTCACTATTCGTTGAATCAGATCCGTAATCGTTGATATACGACAGACAAGACATGAGTTTAATTGACAAACAGCCGTGAAGATCAAATAGTATTTAAGCACAAGCGACGAAAGGCGACAGAAATCATAATCCTAAATATCAAGTGTAATAAACTAGGGACAAAACTAAAAGTATGCGATAAAAACATGGAAGTCACACTCAATGTATAATCTATGCATGGATTTTTTTAATGGATTTTATGACCTGGTAAGTAAGACTTTTAGGTCATGTCATGTTTAATTTATATTCTTATTTTTATGAAAAACTAGCGACCTGCCCTCGCTTCGCTTCGGAAACTGTAATTTATTATTGTTTTCTCCACTATTTAATGAATGTTATTATACATATAAACCTTCCTCTTCAATCACTCTATTAATTAAAAAAACCGTATCAAAATCCGTTACGTATAAATAGTTTTAAAGATTTAAGCATATATGGGGATATAGGGATAAAGAAAGCGACTTTGCTATAAACTATGTAGTGATGATAATATGGAGTGAAATGAAATGAATGAATTTACTGGTGGTAGGACGTCTTGGGAGTCCGCGCGGGTAGGTACCACCGCCTTACATATTTCTGCCGTGAAGCAGTAATGCGTTTCGGTCTGAAGGCTAGGGCAGCCGTTGTAACTGTAGTGAGATATTAGAACTTATATCTCGAGGTGGGTGGCGCATTTACGTTGTAGATATCTATGGGCTCCAAAAACCACTTAACACCAGGTGGGCTGTGAGCTCGTCCACCCATCTAAGCAATAAAAAAAAGAAGATTAATTTGAGACATTAATCAACTGGGATGAAATAAAATGAGATAAGATGAGATGATATGGGATGAACTATAATCTCAGTAAAATGGTGGTCATTTACAGAGTTTTTTTTAGTATGCTAGTGGACTTTTTGGCGGGAACGCGAGAAGTGAAGTTGTATGATTTGTTTTATTTTGTCTATTTAGTGTTTCTTCGGGTTTAAATGTGTAATAATGGTGGTTTATTAACTGTTTAGTATCTGTGAAAGTGCACAAATGTGGGAAAATGACATAAAGCCGCTGAACGTAACTTCTCGGGATCCTCCAAAAAGTCCACTGAAAAAGCCTTAGTAAATGACCACCATTTTACTGAGATTATTTTTCATACCATATCACCTCATCTCATTTCATTTAATTTTACTCCATATTATCATTTTTTCATAAAATAAGAATATAAGCGATAGGCAGCGGCTTGGCTCTGCCCCTGGCATTGCTGAAGTCCATGGGCGACGGTAACCACTCACCATCAGGTGGGCCGTATGCTCGCTGCCTACAAGGGCAATAAAAAAATAATATATATATATATAAATTAAAATTAGACATGACCTAAAGATTATAGTTACCAGGTCATAAAATTCCTAAAAAAAATAGCATGCTAGGCCGAATAACCATAGCCTAATACCTTTAAAAGTTTCTAATTCAGTGCGAATAACATTGAAATTTATATTTGATTGAAGAAATGTCTTTCAATAAAAATGCGGTTTTTTCTGAACCATTACACGAAGATACCGTATATTGCACGTTTTATTCTTTATCATTGCTTGAAAGATCACAATGGGTGTCATTGTGTGACCAAATCAATGAAACAATCTTAACTTTGTCAAAAGATTACATCTGGCATAGAGATGTTTTCAAAGTCTTTCTACCACTTTATGAGAATAAAAATCTACACAGTGAGTACAAGTAGTAGTACATACAAAATATCAGAAGAAAATTTTATACACCATTTTAAAAATAAGTTAATCCTATCCTGTTTGTAGAGAATAAAAAAACAAAACCTATAAACCATTATTTTTGCAGAGAGCGACTGAAAAAATAAAATATTATATTAATTGAGAAATTTCCTATAAGCCAAAGAAACAAAGAGACAAACAAACTGATCATAATTGATTAGACACTTGTTTTATAAAAGCCTTTGTTGAAATTTAAGACTTGTTTTTTATAATTTTAGAAATGTTATTAATCAATTAAATGTTATTTTATTTTATCTTTTTTTTTTCAGACTATCCTATGCATTTAATTAGTGTAACATGTTTTGGTGACAATATTGAAGATGAATGGTTCATAGTTTACCTTGTAAAAAATATAACAAAGCTATACACTAACATAGTTGTACAAATTAAAGACAGTGATGGTGAATTTTTATTAATAGAAGCTGCAAATTATTTGCCTTCATGGGCAAATTCAAATACTACAGAAAATAGAGTAAGTGCTGTGTGATATGAGGGTAGGACAGCTATTATACAATAAGAGATTTTTGGCAGTCTCAAGGCATTAGCTATCACTTAGAATTCTTTCTGATCTCCATTCCAATTTATACCAGTATATCCAGTTTATACATAATAGATTGAGTTTTGCCTGTTTAGAATAATCTACATTAATTGAAATTCATCAACTTATGGAATAGATATGAAATCATTGGCTTTAATTTAAAATATAAATAATATAAAATACATTTGTCAAGATGATTTTCATACTGAATTTTAATTCAATTTCAGATAAAGTAAGTTTTTAAATCATACAACATACATTCATAAAATCACTAATGCTTGAAAATAAAATATTTGTACTTAATATACACATCATTTTTCCAGGTGTTCATTTACAACAACAATTTACATATAATACCTCCATATGTGGCAAGTATAGATGAGAAGTTAGAAATATCAGAAGCATTAAAATACTTGGAAATCAATAAAGACACTAAGTCAACACATGAAATTGAAAATGCTATATCGTTAAGAATTGAGAAGTTTTCTAAACATTTAAGTGATTATTTCCATACATCAGTTGTCAGACTTCCAATAGAGGTAGCTACTTTACTGAAACTTGAACCTCAATACATTGCTAACTTTATTAATGCCTATTGTAATCATGAAGAATCTAAGTCCTGTCCTGTGATTAATTATGAAAATTTAGTGGATGTTCCAGTGAAGTTTACTAAGTTCTTGTATGCAATATTGATGCAGTCAAAACCTATTAAACATTTTAGTAAAAGAAAATCCACAAATGATAAGAGCACTTTACTTGGTTTGAAAATTTCCTATGGTTATCAAATTATAACCAACTCATCAAATGAGGTTTTTTTAACCAATGCATATAATAAATTTATTGCTACTTTAAGGAACAATGGTTATTTTAAAGGTAATTTAGAGGGTTCTAGGGATTATCAACAGCTTTTAGAAAAAGCTAAGGATTATTTCTTAAATACTGAATGCTCAGTAAGTTCTAATGCATCTTACAATATTACAAAAACACNTTATCAAATTATAACCAACTCATCAAATGAGGTTTTTTTAACCAATGCATATAATAAATTTATTGCTACTTTAAGGAACAATGGTTATTTTAAAGGTAATTTAGAGGGTTCTAGGGATTATCAACAGCTTTTAGAAAAAGCTAAGGATTATTTCTTAAATACTGAATGCTCAGTAAGTTCTAATGCATCTTACAATATTGCAAAAACACTAAGTTCAGAAAATTTCACTCAAGAAATGGAAAATATAAAAAATTATAGTACAAATTTGGATTTCTCAGATGATAACGATGACTGGATGACCATTCATCCTGATGAGTTAAATAATACATTAAATTCACGCTATGGCCAAAAATCTAAATTTACAGTAAAAAGTGAAATTACTCCAGAGTCGATAACAAAGGACCTTAATAATTTTCTAAATAATACTTCAAACTTTGAGGGGATTGAATCAGAATATACTGATAATAATACTATTGAATTTGAGGCAGATGAATTTCAATCTTCCATTGAGAAGTTTTTGGGATTATTGAGTATGAATCAAAATGATGTGCAAGAAGAGTCAGATTTATTAGATGATGAAGATTGTATTTCCGAAAATGGAGATATTACTGAAGAATTAGAAGAAGAAATGAAATCTAAACTGGGAAATGATGATATAGACTCATTACACAATCAGAAAAATATTTTACAAAATTTCTTGCAAAGTATTAAAGAAGAAAAAGCTGCATCTGGTCCTTCCAGTAATCTACTACAGTCAATAGGCCTTAGAAAAACACAATTATTAGACTCAGATGATGATGATGATAATAAAACATAATAACTTAGTGATTTGTTTTATTGGCCTTCATGGGTTGAATAATTCAAGGCTTGTCAGTGTTTAGTGGATATTGGAGTCTATAGACAACCCTGTTGTCTTAATGCATTAGCACCCAGCTGGGGCGAGTCTTCAAAGGTGATGGTCGATTTATGAGAGTTCAACAGAAGGCCGCACGAGAGGGAGCTTTACCATATGCGTCATGTCCGGAACGAAAAATGAAAGATAGTCAAATAAGTGGGTCCTTAAACACTACCTACCTTCTATCTGCAGCGACTGTCGCGTTGACTGGGGAATAATTTGCGTGTCTCCTCAGCACGAGGAGGCTATCAAGTAGGAAATTCGACCTCGGCCCAAAAAAAGAGAATGTTAGATTTTAAAAACTAAAAATCTTAGTAGGTATAATAGCCGGCAAACTTCTTGAGCATTTGTCGACGTAGTGGGGGTAAGTTCGCGCATGGTACACTCACGTGCAAAAACATTATTTACTCTGCGTCATAATGCTATTAAATTATGAAAATCAACATATTATGTGTTTATTTATATATTTATTAGAACATCAACAAAAAATATAGGTTCATAATTGTAATAATTTAATCTTAGGGTAAAATAGATATTCCTTCTATTAAGTCAAAACTAGAGCTGTTGCCAGGTCTTGGTTCAGTTGAAGCGAAGCTGGTATTAGTAATTTTTTTTTCGTTATCCTAATTTTGACCATCATCATCATCACTGTTTTCATCACCCGAGTCGCTATCATCATGATGAGTCGACATAGGGCTCATCGGTGTAGTTTACAACTCGGTCGGTTCGGTCTTCTTTTTTGTCTATAATTAATTATTTTTTGAAGATATTCGATTCGTAGTAATCGAATGTTACTTTTTTCAATTACCAGCTTCCGATTACTTTCTGTTTTTTTTTTCCATCTGAAGCCTAGCTCTTTCATAATTCGTCGTAAACTTCATTCCGAGCCATTAAAATTTATATCTTCTTTAGATTTTTCGAAGCCCTTCTACGATACGGAGTTTCGCTGCTTGATAAGTAGTTATTATGATTACATCTTTTTAATACAGATTCAACGAAACTATCCATTCCGGTAACTTTCTTCTTCCCTGATCTTTTCTTACCCGGAGTCCGAAACACGGCGAGCAAGCCAGAGCCTTTAGCTTCGTTAATAATGCACCTAACAGTACAGTGTTTTTCTTGCTTCCGAAGTCTGTTTTACTTTTTCCATATCATTCTTCCCCTGTTTTATAATGAAGCAATATACGTCGTACACAATTTTTCTACCCTTTCTTTTGAATACTACACCAGTTTGTCGCGGCATAGTGTATTTTTTATAAAAAATGAACAAACACTCAACATATAGCAATGGCAACAAAGTCAACAAGCAATTATAACAAATAACTTAACGATTAATAACGATAGACTTTTTACTGTACGCAAGCGTACTTTTGGGAGTAAGCGGAAAGAGGGCGCGGTGCGGGGCGCAAGGTTCGACTGATCTACCAATAACGCGCTCGATACGATTTCCCCTGCCGTCGCGCCTCACCCTCACCACCAAAGTGATCTAAAATTCGGTTCTGCGCAGTCAAGGTCATTTGCTCAAGAAGTTTGCCGGTTACTATATCTATCTCTACAGTGTCTACATAAACATTTTTACAAAGGCTTGATGTGAAAGATATAAAACTAACTAAATTCAAAGTTTAAATGGCTTTCGCCGAAGCGCCAAACGTCGGAATGTTAAGAAATCTTAGAATAGAAAAAATATTTTTTATCAAATTACAATATGGTGTTAAGCACCCCATGTGCTAAAGAAAATATAGGATTGCAGTGATCGCCTTGTACAAAGTAGTAGTTGTGGTAGTTGTAAAAGTAGTAGTAGTTTTAAAAGTAGTAGTAGTTGTAAAAGTAGTAGTAGTTGTAAAAGTAGTAGTAGTATAGAGCCGTCGGTCATATTCGAGACACTTCAAAAGCGTGGTCTCAGCTGTATGTTCTTATAATGGACTATCACAGATACAACAAAACTTCGTCTGTCGAAGACCAGAAAAGATCGGGGTGGCAGCGTGCTGTTGGAACTACAAAGGCTGTTAATGCTGTTAAAACCAGAGTTCGTCGAAACCCCATTAGGAAGCAAAAAATCTAATAATGTGGTAAAAAAATAATAATATCATAAATTAATATCATAATAATAATATAAAAAAATAAAAATAATAAAAATCTAATAATATCTAATCTAATAATATTTTTTGCTCGCAATAGCGAAAAATGAAGATTCCCGCTAGGACTGTCGCGTATTATAAAACAAGACCTGAAGCTCGGTGCTTATCGTCGATGTACAGGACATGCCCTAAATCAATATTTTTTCTTTTTCTTTTTTCTCAAAGTAGTGGATCGATCAATACGCCTTCTTTCGCGATGCGCAGGTGAAACGGTGATGCGCACAGAAATATACTCTTTACCGATGAAAAAATTTCACGTTTGAAGAACACTACAATAATTCAGAGTTCTTGTATGCAATATTGATGCAGTCAAAACCTATTAAACATTTTAGTAAAAGAAAATCCACAAATGATAAGAGCACTTTACTTGGTTTGAAAATTTCCTATGGTTATCAAATTATAACCAACTCATCAAATGAGGTTTTTTTAAAATAATGTACGCTCACAGTTCTAAAGATGCTGCTCAAGTGATCGGAAAGGTACAACGTAGTCATCATACTGCGTCAGTGATGGTTTGGTGGGGCGTGTCTTATCAAGGAGTCACAAAACTACATTTTTCTGAAAAAGGAGTGAAAACTTCAGCCAAAGTGTATCAAGAAACAGTCTTGGATCATGTTGCGAAACCTCCCAGCAAATACACTTTTAAAAAGTACACCGTGGACTTTCCAGCAAGACTCTGCACCTGGTCACAAGGCACGAACTACCCATGCCTGGTAACCAACGTTCCGGACTTTATACGAGCTGAAGACTGGCCCTCATCTAGCCCAGACCTCAACCCTTAGAATTCAAATTATTGTCGGTTTTAGAGGACATGGCCTGCTTTAAATGACACGACGACATTGAGTCTCTTAAATTTTTTTGGAACAAGCAGTGACGAAATTTCCCCTAGAAACAGTGCGTAAATCCATAGATTCGTCGCCAAAATAAAAGCCAAAGGTGGTCATTTCGAACTGAATATTTTCTTTTATTTTTCCGTGAAACTAATAAGTATGTAGGTATAAATTTTAATAATATTACACTTCATTAAAAAATATGAAAAAAATGTAAATGCATTGTCATTTGTAACAGAACTTAGGGCTGGACTAGGTATAGTGACAGAAAATAGCAGGCACCATGAAAAGAAGTTCCAGGATACTCTCATTAGAATTCCTTCGAAATCATCAGCCTTCCAACCCCGACTCACTTCTCCTATATATCGCTCATCGTCCGAGCGCAATGGATCTGAAACTGCTTAAGAACGTAACTCTGCGCTTGCATTTTATCGAAGTAATGTCAGAGCTCAACTCCGACCACCGACCTGTCGTCATGCCGCTCGGCCGTCCGTGCATCCCAGACCCGGTCACGAGGACCATGGTGGATATGTAGAAATTGAGCAGTAGCTTGGCAGATGCCTCTCTGATCCTTCCTTACAGCCCGGACTCTTCCCCATCCCCAAAGGACACCGTCGAATCCATAGAAATACTGTCAAATAACTTGTCCAACGCGATAAGCAACTTATCTTACCAAATCAATGTGGAGGATTTCTTCCGCCGCATCAAACTTACCCCGAGCTCAGGAATCTCTTAAGTCAATCCGGGCCTATGACCGTTATCCCACTGAATCAAACTTGATGCTTCGTCTACTACCCTATAAACGGAACCGATAAATCCATATGTAAGCTTGAGGGTAGATATTATCTTGTTGAACACCAAGTAAAACGATGTCACTTTTTGATTCCTGATTTAATCAACAACATGTTATCGTAACAATTCACTTTAACACTTGTCCAACTTTAACCAGTACGTACAACAGTCACTGAATCACACAACGTAACAAGAATATAGTAAGTGCACCAGGCAAACGCAGTCCAACGAATGTTCATTTCAAGGCACGTTCCGCCTTTTTATACTAGCCGGCGCAGCTGGCTTATGAGTCACCTCTGTTGCAGCTGTTGTTTACGAGTGGAACGACACGGCCGGCGCACCTGGTTTGTGTGAGTCACTCCTATTGCACGTGCTATATAACATAAATATCGTTAACGCCGTCACNAAGTCCTTAATCTAATAAAATTAATATTATATTTTAAATAAACTGAACTTTCTTTTTACTGCAGGACAGACTTCGCACAACGACATTCAAGAAAAAATCTTTTTAGAAAACTAAGGAGTTTTATATAATAAAGGTTTTTCTTTACATATATATACACACATACGCATAAAAAAACCGGAGATATACTTTAAAATAATATATTCGACAATTAACACCACAATTAAACCCAAAACACAAGTAAAACAGACCAATTATTATTGGTAAACCATTAAAGATGCGCATGGGCGCCCCCTGCAACTACAATGGTTTCTCCAGTTATGTAGCTAGCGTCATTTGAAGTTAAAAACGCAACTGCACTAGCAATTTCCTCTGGTTTGCCAAATCTTTTCAATGGAACAATTGATAAGCTCTTCTCCGCCCCAGCTTCTGAATTTGTTATCTGTAATATTTAAAATGTATGGATAATATTAAGCTGTCTTATCGAACTTAAAAAACAATGTGTAGTCTATACTAATATATAAATCTACAGTGGTTTTTACGGATGTTCCGTTATAACTACTGAACCATGCATCCGATCGACTTGAAACTTGGTATCCATGTAGAAAATACATGTACTTAGTGGATAGGCTAATATTTATATGAGCGTTGGACTTGTTATGGTTGGAATGTTAATTTTAAATGCGCAGCGAAGCGGGCGAGTACGGCTAGTCATTCATAAATCTTTGCACTCATACAATGTCAATTTTAAGATGGCGCTAATGTTTTTTCTTCTGAACTAATAAAATATGATTTCCAGATAGCATTCGAAATTTTAATTATATGTATAAGGTGTGACAGGAGATGTGATTTGTCCTTCTTCCACGAACATGTGTACGTTCAAACTGCATTTGTGGTTAAAACGTATATCAGTATGTATGTACATATGCAAATATTTAGGAAAACCTTTTTTTTTATTGCTTAGATGGGTGGACGAGCTCACAGCCCACCTGGTGTTAAATGATTACTGAAGCCCATAGACATCTACAACGAAAATGCGCCACATTGAGATATAAGGTCTCAGTATAGTTACAACGGCTGCCCCACCCTTCAAACCGAAACGCATTACTGCTTCACGACAGAAATAGGCAGGTTGGTGGTACCTACGCATGTGGAGAGGTCTTGCCACCAGTAATTACGCAAATTTTAATTTTGCGGGTTTGGGTTTTTATTACACGATGTTATTCCTTCACCGTGGAAGTCAAACGTGAATATTTGTCAAGTAAATATTTCATTAGAAAAATTGGTACCCGCCTGCTGGATTCGAACACCGTTGCATCGCTAGATACGAATGCAACGGACGTCTTATCCTTTAGGCCACGACGATTTCCTTTCTCATACACACACAAAAATACATTTGTTCTATAAAAAATAAATAAGTTCAACAGATTGTTTAGTTTTAAATTATAAATTAAATGAAATACTAACTGCAGAAGCAAATTTTGTTGCAACTATTCCAGGTGCGACACAATTTACTCTTATATTGTCATGGACTACTTCATTAGCTATTGCTTTTGTTAATCCTAACAGTGTCGTTTTACTAACGCTGTAGGCACCTAAGGGCTGTAAAAAACATCAAGATCCATGTTTAAATTATTGCTGTTTCTAACATTTCTATACTTTTTTTAAGATGGTAGTACCTCCATAGGCTGGTATGCAGCAATTGAAGAAATAAACACAATGTTTCCACCTCCTCTTTTAATTAACTCAGGGTACGCTTCTTTGGCTAATAGCCATGAACTCTTTACATTTATTTCGAATATCTTGTCCCATACTTGTTCATCCGTCTAAAAAAGATTTACTAATAAATTAGAATAACTACTTAAATAACAATAATGATTAGACAATTGCCAGAAATATTGAGACAAATGTTCCCTTGGATATAGTTTTCCTATGACAAAAATGGACAATAAAACAATATTACCTCTAAAATAGGAGAAACTGTTGGATTGACTGCCGCATTCGACACAAGAATATCCAAGCCACCAAACTTGCTTTTAGCCTGTAAGGTCACGAACGATTATTAAATATGTACAACAAATGGTTAAAGGGACAAATACTATGCTCGCAAGAATATAAAATAATCCACTTTTTAAATATCTTATTGATTAAGATATGCAGAAAATCTGTTTTGCTAAATCGAACTTACAAAAACGGACGAAATTTTATTATTTGTTTATTTGTCGTCGGGCAAGTATACCTACCTAAATGGGTTTTTAATCAACTTTGAGGTGAGGTGAACAACTCTGAGGTGTCGATCTAGAATAGCGATCTTATAACATGAGTGTTGTAAAAGGAAAGAGATCTATCCGAGTGCGGGCAGCAGCGTTCTCAAAATATTCTATAAGGGTACTGTGATCGCCAAACGGTTTCTTTGACATATCAATTATGGAATTTACTGATGGTAGGGCGTAATGAAACCCCACACGGATAGGTCCCAAAAACCCAGCTTATTTATGCCGCGAAGCAGTCGTGCGTTCGGGTCGGTAAAGAATACAACTTAGAATTGATTTGTTTTTCTTTTAGATTTTTTAAAAACAAAGCTCTGATATAAACACTCATATATCATAATGGATAATTTTCACTAGTGTTTACGCATTATAATAAAAGGGAGCGCATATAAATACAGTATCATCATCGCCTTGCTTATACTTGCCACTTCAAACAATTTTTTTCTATGATCTGAATTTGCAACATGACAAACTATTCCTTCTACTGTAATACCATCGCTGCGTAAGCTTTTAACTGCGTTTTCAACATTATCTTCTTTTCTACTGCTTATGACGACTGAAGCGCCTTCATGACCCAACCTTTTTGCGATTGCATAGCCAATCCTAAAAATATTCCATTTGGTTAGTTTGATACCCAGTTTATAGGATAATAAAACTATTGCAACTAAAATAACAACAAAATAGGCTATAATGTTGTTCTTTAGAAGATGGTAGCGACGACGATCAATCCGTATAATGTTTCTTATATTACATAAATAAATAATTTAAGATTGCTAAAAATATGAATAAGTAATATATACTCAATGGTTTGGACTGAAGCCGGCTATTGACAAGGCTCAGCTTATTTCTACGAAAATATCGCAAGATGATACCANTAAAATAACAACAAAATAGGCTATAATGTTGTTCTTTAGAAGATGGTAGCGACGACGATCAATCCGTATAATGTTTCTTATATTACATAAATAAATAATTTAAGATTGCTAAAAATATGAATAAGTAATATATACTCAATGGTTTGGACTGAAGCCGGCTATTGACAAGGCTCAGCTTATTTCTACGAAAATATCGCAAGATGATACCATTCTAAGATTTGATTATGAAATTTATTCTTTTACGCATCTAACGGTTTGTATTAATTAGACAAAAATTGGTATCTGGATTTCGGATTTGAATACGGGCAAACACGGTTTATGTTAAATTTCACTTTCTCTCTTTCTGGTGTTCAGTTAAGTGTGATGGTCTAGTGCTATGTGAACCTTAGGTACTATAGTATGAAGGAGTTCGGGTTCAATCTACAAGCGGAGTCACTATCTTTAGTAAAGACTAGCGACCCGCCCTCGCTTCGCTTCGGAAACATTAAAACACACATGAAACAAAAAAAATAAATAAAAAAAAAAATAAAAAAAGTAGCCTATGATCATCAGGGACAATGTCGGCTTCTAATGGAAAAATAATTTTTCAAATCGGTCCAGTAGTTTCGGAGCCTATTCGAAACAAACAAACAAACAAATCTTTCCTCTTTATAATATTAGTATAGATAATATTAGTATAGATGTGTAGCGGTAGCTATCGTACAATAGGAAAATGGTGGGAAAACGCAGGTAGGTACCACCACCCTGTCTATTTCTGCCGTGAAGCAATAATGCGTTTCGGTTTGAAGGGCGGGGCAGCCGTTGTAATTATACTGAGACCTTAGAACTTACTATCTAAGACCTTATACTATCCCCGAGAAGGGTGACCGGTCGGACCATCGAGCTATAGGCCTATCGCGATAACTTCCTTGCTTTCCAAGGTGATGGAGCGAATAATAAATATACAACTCCTGAAGTATCTTAAAGATTGCCAGCTGATCAGTGACCGACAGGTACGGTTTCCGTCACGGTCGCTCAGCTGGCGATCTTCTTGTATACCTTACTCACAGGTGGGCTGAAGCCTTGGAGAGCAAGGGCGAGGCTCTTGCTGTGAGCCTTGATATCGCGAAGGCCTTCGACAGGGTCTGGCATAGGGCACTTCTGTCGAAGCTACCATCTTACAGAATCCTCGAGGGTCTCTGCAAGTGGATCGCTAGCTTTTTGGATGGGCGGAGCATCACAGTCGTTGTAGACGGTGACTGTTCTGATACCATGACCATTAACGCTGGCGTTCCACAAGGTTCGGTGCTCTCCCCCACACTTTTCATCCTGTATATCAATGACATGCTGTCTATTGATGGCATGCATTGCTATGCGGATGACAGCACGAGGGATGCGCGATATATCGGCCATCAGAGTCTCTCTCGGAGCGTGGTGCAAGAGAGACGATCAAAACTTGTGTCTGAAGTGGAGAACTCTCTGGGGCGAGTCTCCAAATGGGGTGAACCCGTTAAAGACACAAGTTTGCGCGTTCACTGCGAAGAAGGACCCCTTTGTCATGGCGCCGCAATTCCAAGGAGTATCCCTGCAACCTTCCGAGAGTATTGGGATATTTGGGGTCGACATTTCGAGCGATGTCCAGTTTCGGAGTCATTTGGAAAGCAAAGCCAAGTTGGCGTCCAAAATGCTGGGAGTCCTCAACAGAGCGAAGCGGTACTTCACGCCTGGACAAAGGCTTTTGCTTTATAAAGCACAAGACCGGCCTCGCGTGGAGTACTGCTTCCATCTCTGGGCCGGGGCTCCCAAATACCAGCTTCTTCCATTTGACTCCATACAGAGGAGGGCCGTTCGGATTGTCGATAATCCCATTCTTACGTATCGATTGGAGCCTCTGGGTCTGCGGTGGGACTTCGGTTCCCTCTGTATTTTGTACCGTATGTTCCATGGGGAGTGCTCTGAGGAATTGTTCGAGATGATACCGACATCTCGTTTTTACCATCGCACCGCCCGCCACCGGAATAGAGTTCATCCATACTACCTGGAGCCACTGCGGTCATCCACAGTGCGTTTCCAGAGATCTTTTTTGCCACGTACCATCCGGCTATGGAATGAGCTCCCCTCCACGGTGTTTCCCGAGCGCTATGACATGTCCTTCTTCAAACGAGGCTCGTGGAGAGTATTAAACGGTAGGCAGCGGCTTGGCTCTGCCCCTGGCATTGCTGAAGTCCATGGGCGACGGTAACCACTTACCATCAGGTGGGCCGTATGCTCGTCTGCCTACAAGGGCAATAAAAAAAGAATAAAAAAATGTGGGTGGTGCATTTACGTTGTAGATGTACATGGCCTCCAGTAACCACTTAACTCCAGGTGGGCTGAGAGCTCGCTCACCCATCTAAGCAATAAAATAAAAACTACAACCAGGTGGGCCGCGAGCTCATCCACCCGTCTATGCAAAAATAAATAAAAGGTGTACATAATGGTAGTTTCATAAGTACAGGTTAAATATACGTAAATTAAGTTTAAAAAAATTACAGTTTATACAAGAAATTTCAAGATACAGGAGAGTAAGATACATAAAATTTTCTTATTCTTCAACAGTTGAAAGATTATATAGGTACATAAAGTCACAAAAAATTAGCATAGCTTAAAAATAAATTGAACTGACCTTTGACTCACATACTTAAATTATTTAATAGTACCTAATCGAATTACGTAGATACACAACGCGACGTAAACTGATTAAATTATTAAGTAATGCATTGTAATATTCACAAGTTTCAATATATTGTATATTTAATATCAATCTTAATGCTTCTTTTTAAATCTTCAATTGTTACTTACCCTTCGGTGGATGCCGTTACAATCGCCACTTTTCCTTTTAATCTATCATTGTGATTTGCACGAACAAAATTCGGTGTTTTTGACATTTTCGTATTCATCAAAGACCGAATGAACTTCAATCTAAACATCACTCTTAAGCTACCGTGAGTTGAGATATGCTTGAACTTTTCTACTTTACAAACACTCACAAGGTCAGAGTCAGAGCGCTACGTCATCAATGTACTGTTCTTAAATAGGTACCTACTATTTACTTAACTGTATTATCTATGCTGTACCGTAATTAGTTGTACTACTTTAATAATTTTGTTAAGGAAACGTAGTGAAATAAAAAATTTTAGGACCGGCCCCAATGATCTTATCTTATATGTTATTAGGTGTTTGTATCATCAATGGCTAAGATAGGATAAAAAAATAAACATTTTGATAAGACAAGCGTCGTTGTTAGGTTATAAAGTTTAATGGGAAAATCATGTAAAATGATGAAATAGTAAATACTGTGCATCGAAATTTAAAAATTAATTTATTTAACTGCAAAAATAAAACTATAATTATCTCGCGGACTCGTTATGGACTCGCGCTATCTATCAAAACATTTCACTATTGTCAATGTACTAAACATTAAAAAGTATGTAATAAACCTATTAATTTAAAAACTAGTGAACTATTCATAAACTTTTGAAAGACTAGAAATAAAATTTAAAAAAAAAGTTGAGACTCGTGAATTTACATGTTAAGAATATAATGTGATACGAATTTTATTTATTACCTATACATTTATTGTCGTATGTAGTTATTTATCTATATCGACAGTGCGATATGGAGCGAGAGATGGAAAACTCGAAATTAAGCCCTGTACCAACGCGTCTAGCCAGCGTGGTACAGTAGGTTAAATACCTCCATGGAAAGTACAAGAGAGACCAGACCCTTAGTCCCCGGCGGCTCCGCTACTCCTGGCTACGGTAGCGGCCACGGTAACGGCGAGGCAGGGTGTGCTAAGAATCCCCGGCAGAGACCCGGGTACCACCCCCGAAAAAGACGACCGCTGACCCTGGTAACACACAACGTGCGCACTCTGAGACTGGACGAGAAGCTCGTCGAGCTGGAAGAAGAGATGGACAAGCTGCGCTGAGACGTTATTGGTTTATCTGAAATCTGAGGACAGGAAGAGGATACGATAACTTTGCAGACCGGCCAGTTGTTCTTTTACCGAGAGGACGAGCACAAGTCCCAAGGTGGTGTTGGGTTTATCGTACACAAGTCTCTCGTGAACAACATCGATTCCGTCGGGAGTGTGTCGAATAGGGTAGCGTGCCTTATACTCAGAATATCTAAACGATATTCGCTGAGGGTCATACAGGTTTACGCTCCCACTCAGACAAACCCATATTACCTACATGTATCCAAAATACATTTCACTGTTGTTATGGGGAACTTCAATGCTAAGCTAGACCGTAGAAGCAGTGATGAGTTGAAAGTGGGGCAATTTGGATATGGGCAGCAGGACTCCAGGGGACAGAGTCTGGCCAACTTTCTGGAGAAAGAAGGAATCTATATGATGAATTATTTCTTCCAGAAGCCGCCCCACAGGAAACGGACCTGGATGAATCCCGAAGGTGTACCAAAAATGAGATCGATTTCATCATGAACACCAGTAGACAGATATTTAATGATGTCTCTGTGATTCATAGGTTTAAAACTGAAAGTGATCACCGAATTGTCAGGGGCACATCGAGTATTCAATGTCAAATTGGAAAGATCGCGTATGATGAAGTCCACGCTCCGGAGATAGAGAGGTTCTATGGATAGTTGTACACCTCGAAAGCCAATGAGCCTGCAAGCTTGGTGGCAGACCCTAGAGCGAAGCTAACCCGACACTATACCGAGGATATCCCGGACATCAACCTGTACGAGATTAGGATGGCCCTCAATCAGCTCAACAACAAGGCACCGGGCGAGGATGGAATCACCACAGAGCTTCTGAAAGCGAGCGGGACGCCGGTACTGAAAGTCCTTCAGAAGCTATTAAATTCCTCCTTGCTCAAAAGGAAAACGCCAGAGGCATAGAACAGGGGTGTTATGTGTTTGTTTTTTAAAAAAGGCGACAAAGCCTTATTGAAGAACTACAAGCTCATAACACTGCTGAGCCATGTCTATAAGCTGTTCTCGAGAGTCATCACGAACCGTCTCGAACGCAGGCTTAATGACTTTCAGCTTATCTGATAAGCCGGTTTCCGAAAAGGCTTTAGCACCATAGACCACATAAATACGCTGCGGCAGATTATACAAAAGATCGAAGAGTATAATCGGCCACTATGCTTGGCGTTTGTGGACTATGAAAAGGCCTTTGATTCCATTGAAACTTGGGCAGTCCTTAGATCTCTCCAGCGGTGCCGTATTGACTATGGGTATGTCGAGGTGTTGAAGTACTTGTTTAATAACACCACCATGTAAATCCCAGTACAGGGGCATTGCACCAAGGAAATCACATTAAAGAGAGGAGTAAGACAAGGAGATGTTACATCTTCCAATTGTTTACTGCTGCCTTAAGAGGATTCTTTCAATCTACTGGAACGGCAAGGACTTTGCATCAATATAAGTGGCGATTACATCACACACCTTCGATTTGCAAGAGGCCTATGTTCAGCAGTGGACAGTAGACAGGTTGAGATGATGATGATGAATGTAGTACTTAGTACTTTATAAACCTTTATTAAGCCATAGTAAAACGGCTATAATGATGTTTGTCAGAATATTGATAAATGTTACACAATTAAATGACAGGTCCTGAGGCTGTAGTAGATAAATTTCTTTAAAACTTTAACAAATCAGAATTTATGTAATTAAGCAAAATAGGATCTCTGTTTTTTCTACCATATGAAATTGAATTTAAACTATGTAACATGTAGTTCATCTATTTTGACTTCAAGGTTGGGAACATTATAGGCAGAAAGCTGCAATAAATATTATAAATGATTATGTTCAAATATGAGAGTTTATAATGGTCACCAGATGTGGGATTTGTTTTCCCAGTGAATAATATTTAAAGTGAACTTTTCAATTAAGTTATCTATTAAACAATTTAATATTGATGTTACTGGTATTTTATACCACATTTTTTATAATAACAATAATATTTGCAGTTCTAGTAACTGAAAGTATGTGAACACTTATTTAAATGTTTTCATCATAGCAAGAACTGCTTTATGATTTAAACACTTATTAAATAAAATAGCTTGTACTAGCTAATTATTAAGTAAAATTTTAGATAGACATCTGCATAATATTCTCAATTTAATTTTGTTAAATTATTCATAAAGAATACATAAGTCCGCGATTTGGAATTCAGCCGAGGTCAAAAACTGTGCTGTTTTATATCCATTTTAATAAAACTCCAAGTTAATTCAAGATTAATAAAATAATGATGTTCGTTGTAACCACAACGATTCTTAAATGAATTTAAATTAAGAAAATCCTTATTTAGAGCCATTATATATGTATAATTACGAAAAAAGATATAACTTTTATTACATACATACCTACTTTTTTTTAAGAGATTTTATGACCTGGTAACTGAGACCTTTAAGTCATGTCTTATTTTAATCTATATTCTTCATTTTATGAAAAATGATATTATGGAGTGAAATGAAATGAAAATGATTAATTTGAGACATTAATCAACTAGGTTGAAATTAAATGAGATGATATGAGATGAAATCTAATCTCAGTAAAATGGTGATCATTTACTAAGATTTTTCAGTGGACTTTTTGGAGGATCCCGAGAAGTTAAGTCCAGTGGCTTTGTTTCATTTTCCCACATTTGTGCACTTTCACAGATATTAAACGGTTAATAAACCACCATTATTACACATTTAAACCCGAACAAACACTAAATAGACAAAATAAAACAAATCACACAACTTCACTCCTCGCGTTCCCGCCAAAAAGTCCCATACATACCTACAATCAGTAAGTAGCATAGATTATACACATAATATATTGGAGAGTAAGTAGGTACCTAGTAGTTTTATTTTTCCAACAGGAAAGGCAAAGGTGTTATACTATACAGCCTAATATTTTATATTTATATAATGAAAGAGATAAAATAAGATGAAATGCTAAGGGATGAGATATAATCTCAATAAAATGGTGGTCATTTACTGAGACTTTTTCAGTGGACTTTTTAGAGGATCCTGAGAAGCTACGTCAAGCGTCTTTGTTTTATTTGTCCACATTTGTGCACTTTCACAGATATACTAAATAGTTAATAACCCACCGCTATTGCGCATTCAAATCTGTAGAAACGCTAAATAGACAAAATAAAACAAATCACACAAATTCACTACTTCAAACTTCACTACAAAAATACTTTCATGTTAGTTGTTAATTGGAGTGTCTTTACGTACCGCCACAATTAAAATGATTTTAGGCATGCGTTTAGTTCATCAGCAACAGTTGATCGGGGAATAATCGGAAAAGTCTGACGAAAATCACCTGACAAGAGTCATGGCCTCACTAAAAATATTTTGGTTGTCACGAAGATCTTTCAACGTTCTATCCAGTACCTGCAGTGATCTGTAGGCTTAAATGTGGAACAACTAATAATACGTGATTTATTAACTGTTTCAAATTTGTAAAACTGCACAAAGGGGGGAAAACGAAATAAAGCCGGGTGTATTTTCTCAGGTTCTTCCTCGTTTCATTTAATTTCATCTCAATTGGTTAAAGTGTTATATTAATCAACTTTATTTCATAGAACTTCTTAAATCAATTCAATATTTCAAAGAAAGTTGGCTTAAAAGTGTCATTACCAAGGCATAAAATAAAAAGATTCTATTTTCCAGATCTGTTTTTTTAAGGGATTTTATGACCTGGTAACTAAGTCATGTCTTATTTTAATTTATATTCTTATTTTTATGAAAGATGATAATATGGAGATAAATGAAATGAAATGAAGATGATTAATATGAGACATTAATCAACTGGGATGACATTAAATGAAATGAGATGATATTAGATTAAATATAATCTCAGTAAAATGGTGGTTATTTACATAAATTTGTTAGTGGACTTTTTGTGGAGGATCCCAAGAAGTTACGTTCAGCGGCTTTGTTTCATTTTCCCACATTTGTGCACTTTTTTTTTTTTTTTTTTTTTTNTCATATATCAATATCCATATTTCATTAGAAAAATTCTATTGTCTATTAAAAAAGGTTACTCAAGATCTCAAGGGTTTTTCGATTGGTACAACATGCCTGAAGTTATTACATTAAAGTTAACATATCCTATAGCTATGTAGTGTAGAGTAGATGCGTGCAGTAGATAGCTACTACTACTATTACTGCAAGGCTAACTGAAATCAATCCAGTACTCTCAATTATATTTGTTTTTTGGTTTCATTGCATATATAATTACACAACATCTAAATAAATCCAAGATTTTCTCAAAATGACTAAGTTAAATAGGAAAAAGAAATAAAAAAAATCAAATAGACTTCATATTACAAAGAATCGTTTATGCTTTTTTAGGGTCGAGTTTACAGATTGTCTCGGTAGAACTAGAAAATGTCATAAATCGGACCTCGAAATGTTTACGACGCGGGATAAAGCACTTAGGAGAACTATGGGTATTGACACAAGCACTGAAGACCATTCCACCAATGAGGTAAGTAATACCTATTAGAAAAATGTTTTTTTTGCTTGATTTCAGATTATTCTATGGAACAGATTAGTTTGAAGTCATCATTTGAATGACAAGAAAAGAAATAAATAAATAAAAATCGCCCTCGCTTCGCTACGGAAACTGTAATTTATTACTGATTTCTCCACTATTTAATGGATGTTATTATACATATAAACCTTCCTTTTCAATCACTCTATTAAAAAAACCGCATCAAAATCCGTTGTGTAGTTTTAAAGATTTAAGCATACATAGGGATATAGGGACAGAGAAAGCGACTTTGTTTTATACATTGTAGTGATTTAAGCGGTTTACGTGAATCGTAGACAAAATTGGCAATTATTTTACGGTTAAATTTCGCATTTTATTATTTGGGACGTTTCGAATAGACATGTGTAAGTAATGCGAGTGATATTACTCCGGTAATATTACTCTACGATGTAATGCAACATCACACATTACGCGAAGGAAACAAACATCACACTATCACCCACGGAATAGATAAATAAGGTTGGAAAGGCCTTTGCTCTAATTTTGTATTAGAACCAGTGTCGCCGCTTCATCCCCACTATTTTAATTTCTACACATACACACACTGTGATTACAAGTATTTCGCACACAACAAAAACACCCACACATAAATCTCAGGACAGATATTCGTTCGCAAACTAGCACAAAACACCCATAGGCATACACACTTACACACGCAAAAAGGCAATAAAAATGTTCATACACGCTAGTGCTTGATAAAATCGATATTCTTTATCGATAAATTATCTGATGAATGAATGGAGAAAATGAAACATGAAATAAATATTGAAAAAAAAAACTATTTTACTTTTATTAATTACAAATAGTCACTGTCGCTGGAATAAAACGTATTTGTTAAGCAGTTGGCGCNGTTTTAATGCGTGTTTAATAAGTGAAAGAAAGAATGGCGTCTAAATGAAAGTACAGTCCTCTTTGGATGCATTTTGAGGAGACCGCGCCGAAACAATGCGTCTACTGCTCTCGTATATTAACATTATCGTCGAGCTCAATTTGCAGTCTAAGTCGCCATATGAAATCCGTTCATCCCACAATAAATTATATTAAGTAAAAAATAAAATAATTATATTATTAAATAAGTCAATCTCTGTCAAGTAATATAACAGTGTATTACAATACAAAGTATGAACACATAACTTAAGTAATGATTCGGGTGTATAGTCTGTATAGATACAATGTATTCGTCACAGTATCTATTGAACGCACCGAGTAATGTTACGAGTGATGTGTAATGTTTTCGAGTAATATCACCTGTCTGTAAAAGTGATGTCATATCACATTACATTGAGAAGTGATGTTTTGCGCAAGTCTAGTTTCGAATACTTTACTTGAGTCGTCTATTATCAAAGGTGGCAATCTGTGCATTTGGACAAAAAAATGTTATTGATATGTCAATACAGATTGATTTGAATATAATCGTCTCCTTCTAAGAATACGGTTCAAAACCTGAATGTTTCTATCTAAAATGATAAAATGATATTGAATCATTTTAGATAGAAACATTCAGGTTTTGAACCGTATTCTTATCTATGTAAATATCTAAAATTACTATCTAAAATGACGATCAGAAGAGTTTTGTGACTGCCAATGGAATACAAAGTCAATAATTCGTTTTTCTGATTTACCAATAATTGTCCAAAAGTCACATTGCCGGCTTTGATAATAGTCGACTCACTTACAGGTTTTTAATTGATTCCGATCCGGTGGTAGATTCTGTGAAGCACTGACCTTGCTAGAGCTAGTGTTAGCAAATTGTCTCAGGTTGAGTCCGTGAGCTCACCTATCCGTCCGCGAGAAGCTGGAATAGTCCCTTAAACGCCCAGCGAATACTTAGGGAAAAAAGTACAGGTTTTAATGATCGAAAATAATAAAAACAAAATAAACGCCATATTAAACCGTAAAAAATTAAATTTCATTATATAATAAAGCAATATCACGAATACTTACGTGACCATGCGTCCCGCTTTGGGCGAGATTGTCACGCTTTCAGGCTGTCCGTCCCGTTGTCCCCAACGAGAACAAAAATGTCCTGCTTTCATTTATCTGTTGTCCATGTGTTTATTAGAAACTTATCGAATAAGAAAGTAACTCTAATTTGCTGTAGAAAAGAATTTTTTTTTTTATAATTTTTTTAAAGGGCAATTTGGTGTAAGTGTTAAGATGTCAGTGAGGGTAAGATACCATAATAAATTATTTCAAGTCATTTTTTAAACCATTTTTTATTTATTTTGCACTTAAATATTACATCTTACCCCGTCATACCCTATATATGTATTTATTTATATATGAAATTCCGTAGGCGTCCCGCTTTGACACGAAAAAAATTTAACTTACTGTTGTATTGATCTTCCAAAACAGTATTTGTAGATAATTGTAAACACAATGTTGATTATTGACAGGATACAAATCAGTCAACAGAGAAACCGTATTTGGTACAGAAGACTAATGATTACCTTCAATCGCTTCGAAGAAAATGGGAAGAGAAAGAAAAGGATCTTCTTCAGAAAGACAAAGACATCCATTATCAGGATTTGTTGTTTGATGGTAAGTACACTTTGTCCAGTATACTTCAAAATTTATCAATTTCAATAAATTAGTTTAAAATTCTATGATAGGCTTAATTAGTCTTCATATGAGGTTTAATATTATATTATAGTGTATAATGGGGATTGATGCTGTAATGGCACATAGTAAGTAAGCATGTTAGACTCGGTCAGCATAAACTATAAGAAGGAATCTGCTAGTAGTTGTACTTTTAAGTGTTAGGTTTTACAGTAATTACGTGGTAGCCAGTGCAAGAACAACACAGACTCTCGTCCTGGCAGTAAAAGCTCTGAACCAGCTGCGATCCTTCCATCCAATGAGAAAACGACATAAGAACTAAAAATGTTGTTTTATTTATTTATTGCTTAGATGGATAGACGAGCTCACAGCCCACCTGCTGTTAAGTGGTTACTGGAGCCCATAGACATCTATAACGTAAATGCGTCACCCACCTCGAAATATAAGTTCTAAGGTCTCAGTATAGTTACAACGGCTACCCCACTCTTCGAACCGAAACGCATTACTCCTTCACGGCGGAAATAGGCGGGGTGGTAGTACCTACTCGTGCGGACTCCCAAGAGGTCCTACCACCAGTAAAGATTAAATATCATAAAGGGATCAGTCGGCGATGTCGCCTTCTGACTCGGCTTTCGGCTGTCCCGTACCATTTTCAAGGGAAATCGCCTCCTACGAGCTTCTGCGCTCGGCTGACACCAAAGTTGGGATGTGGTTCGAATTGGTAGCGCAGGTCTCATAGGCACTCATACTTGGCATCCATCGCCTCCGCTTCTAGATGCCATCGTGGGCACACCTAATTCAAGATGAGTGGCGGAATTGACGTTGTGATATGTAATGGCTTCGGTAACGACTTACTATTAAACAAAAAAAAAACCTACTATTTTAAATGTCTGTAAAATTTCTGAATTTTATTTACAGAGGCAAGAATACACGGCGTCGGTTATTACTCGTTCAGTACTGATGAGACTGAGCGTCGTAAACAGATGGAAGAGTTGACGAAACGTCGCCAGGAAACGTTGAAGAAACAAGAAGAGGCTGAGGAAATGAGGAAAAAGCGTGACGAGTTGATGGCTGCCAGGGTCGCCGCCGCCAGGGCCAGGCAGAGAGCGCGCGCTGGTCTGCCGCCCGAACCGCCACAAGGTCTGGATCTTTCGTATTCTAGATTCTTCTTCATACTGTACATTGTAGATTCTTCATTTATTACCTTCTACTGATAGTTAGTTAAACAGACATTGTAGACTAGCTGACCTAGCAGACTTCGTAGTGCCACAACCGATAAATAAAAGACATAAGCTTTGGTATAAAATAAATTTAAAACAAACAAAAGGAATTCGTCCGACGGAAAAGCACCCATCAAAGGAAAAACAAAATTGTTATTGTTGTTTTTATTTCATTCCGAGCATTTCCACAAATAATTCAAGACCAAAATTAGCCAAATCGGTCCATCCGTTCTCGAGTTTTAGCGAGACTAACGAACAGCAATTCATTTTCTATATATATAAATTGAAACCTTCTCTGGACTTCCACAAATAATTCAAGAACAAAATTAGCCAAATCGGCCCATCCGTTCTCGAGTTTTAGCGAGACGAACGAACAGCAATTAATTTTTATATATATAGATTGTAGATTCTTCATATTGTAGACTCTTGATTTATTACCTTCTACTAATAGTTATTTAAACAGACAGATGTAGCTATAAAGGATAATTGACGCTGTAGCCCATTTAAACCACATAATAATATAGCTTATTGACGGGACAGTGCCACACGCCTCAGGCATTCTTATATGGGGTCACACATAAAGTTCTAGAAATAAAATTGTGTGTTTTCCAATTTTAAAAGATTATTTAGGTATATTAAGACAATTTTGTTTTAATGCATTTTTTCAATATACAAATTATAAATTACAACAAATAAAAGAGTATTTTCTGTTTACACACGGTTTAAGTGTGAAGAAGTATTTTACCTCATTATCTCGCTAAATCCTTGAGTCACGCGTTTGTCTCTTGTTAGTGTGGCTTATTGAGCGAAATTTCAGTTTCATTGAGTTATCGTAGTCAAATCACGACAATGTTAAAGAAGTTTTCACTTTAATAATAAAATATACTAAACAATTCTATAGCTAATACAAACGCAGTAAACTTTATCATTTCAGAAAACCAAAAGGATTTCTCCGCTTGTCTTCTTGAATTGCTAACGCGGCAAAGGAATGAAGTAGAAGAAAAAGCTAAAGCCGAGGAAAATAAAATAAAAGAAGAACAAGAAAAAGAAAGGCAAAAGCTAAGGGAAGCTTACATTCGTGAGTGGGACTTGGGAAAGGAAGGTGTCGAAGATAAAGTCAAGAAGTTTCGCGAAATGACTCAAGAAGAATATGTTGAACAGCAAAGGAACAAGAGAATAAATGAATTCGCTCCGCCTCAGATATCTGAGAAGAAATCATGTTTTGTTTTCGATAGTAAAGGACGAAAAGTTAATTCAGAAGAACCAGCTACGCAAAATAAAACTTGGTCTGACGTGAGACCTAAAATTAATACACCGCCTCCACCTCATATTGGGGAAATAAGTTTGGATGAATCGTCATCTCCAACATTTATAGAGGAAAGCAATTCAAAGAAACGAAAAGGCTTATATTTCTCAAGTAAAGAAACAAGATTCAATTACAGGAACTTCGTTCCGCAGCAAGATCTAACGCCTATAGTTAACGAATTAAGTGATGATGAATCAAACAATGCCTTAGAGACCAAAAATACAGGAAATGTCCCAAGCCATTCTGAAATAGCTCCTCCTGCTACATATGAGTATTATGGACCCGTTAATAAAAAGCGAATTATCGAGAGACCATTTAAATCGGACATTAGAGAAGCATACGCCCAGGGAAGTAAATATTTAGAAGCATCTAATAGTAACCGAGAGTCGAATATACCTAAACAGTACGATTTTATGTTTGACTAAGGAAGGTTAATAAATAACTAGTAGATATTTGTGTGTTTTATTTTGTGCTAATATGAAGCGAATCTACATTTGTCAATAACTAATAGCTATTCTAATATCACATTGAATAGTTTAACCGCGTATAATCTATCTTGAACACTAAAAGTGATGTTATTATTTTAAAGCCAACAACGAGATCAAGTCTACAACATGATATATTTTAATTATGCATTTCACAATTAAATATTTGAAAATTACAAATGAAAAAGCAGCATTAAGCCCGCAATCGGCGTAAGCATAATAGGTTTGATATGTGTTGCAGTATTGTTCTTGCTCACTTGTTTATTTAAGGTAGTTGGCTCAGCTGCACTTATGTTTTCCATTTTAGTCTCTTGCTGGTTTTGCATAGTCGTTTCTATAGATGCTTCAGTGGTTTTCTCTACGGGATTAGCATTTTCTTGAAGCACTGGAACGGTTGGTAATTTATCATTCCCATTTGGTTCTTGTTTGTCAATCGAGCTGCTAGGTTGCGTTGTATCACTAGGTTCTGCAGTTGAAGCTGGTGCCGAGCTTTCAATTTGAACTTCACTGTCCACCATCATTGTGCTGGATTTTTCAATTTTGATTGCTTCGCCTATATCACTTTCATCAATAATTGCATCGTTGTCTCTTTTTAAGCTTTCTGGTTTACCGATGGTCGAAGGTACGTCGAATAGATCTTTAATGTCAGTTGTGTTCTGAGTTGCATTTAGGTTGTTGATTTGAAACTTTCTACCGGTAATGAAGTTTTCCGATATAATATGTCTCTTTGTGCGTGATGCAACACGCCTTCGCAATTCGGTGAAAGCTTCTATTTCTCTTTCGGTATTACGTCCGTTGCAAAGATCTCCTCTGCATGGACAAATCGTACGCCAAGTTCGTGTTGAATTGCAAAACACCGTATAGCATTCAGTCTTGTAAAGTTTCACGCACAGTCTCGATTCCGTGAAAGCTATAAAATAGAAAATCAAAATTTAATGTTATAGGTATCTAATTTACTAATTTCTTCGGCTTTCGCGATATTTATAGGTTATTCTCGAATTTTTTGGTCTGTAAAATATAATAAGTATAAAATGTAAAACTGTAAGGTATACAAAAAAAAAACGCGCAATTAATCCGTAAAAGTATTTTAAAATAAATATGAAATTTTATAGTGATTTATCCGGTATTCAGTTCAGGTATATGTGGCTTTTTCCGAGTCACGTATGTCAAAAGGACCACAATAAATAGAAGAAAATAATAATGCAAGATTATCTGGATTTGGATGTATAAATGTCGAAAGGTTAAGGCGTAACCTTGATTTTATATAGAGCTGTGTGGGAATATTGGAAACTTGTAGCCAATATAGCCGATATTGAGTTACCTTGAGTGCATGTATTTTCCATATAAATATATAATATTTCGATTATGGTTGAAGGAACTCGAGGCCGCTAAAAACATGTAGGAACAAAAATATGTAAAAAGCGACAATACTGCTGGTGAAAATAAAAATCGGTCTGTGTGCTTAGTGCTAGTTTTTAACGTTCTCGATATCGTAAAAGTTAGTCCAATTTTGTATGCAGTTGGAACAGCGCCCCTAGCGGCAAACGTACGCAAAGGATCCCATTCCATACAAATATGAGCTAACTTTTACGCTATCGAGAGCGTTAAAAAACTCGCACTAAGCACACTGGTAGTAGTCTGCCGGCGGTGAAATTTGATAATTAGGACTAGTTAAAACTACTTTTTATTAGATCCGACAGTCAAATTTATGGATGGCCTAATTAAATAATTTATAATATGCAGCCCATTTCAACTTACGTGGCACCATAGCGACCACAGCACAATGTTTATAACCCTCATCACAAGACGTTTCGTAGAGGTTGCTGACATTACACGGTGGAGCACGGTTGCTTCGGTGGACCTGCTCGGCTAATGGGCCACACCAATAACATTTCCGAGGCTCATTCCCTAAAACTAGACCTGCAAAATGATAGAAACGTCAGCTCTAATACTTTTAAGTCAATAGACCCTCCGTCCTCCGTCTGTTTTATAGTATTAATTGATATGTAATTGTAAAATAACAAAACTTCCAAAATAAATTTATTATTTCCCATAACTAAAAATCAGTTTTGTAATTATTGTTTTTCTTATCACATAGTGCGTTCGATATGTTGATAACTGCACCAATTAGCCGCCACACACACGGAATTGAAATATATCTAATTTAACCGCCATTTTGAACAAGTTATTAAAGTAATTTGAACTCTTTACTTATTCACCGAGTTCAGTGTAGTACAACGAATAACAACTATATTGATTCTTTATTTTCACTGCAATACTGGTATCCATTAGTAAATTATAGGAGTGTACTTTGTACCTAGTGTAATGATATGCAACAACAAATATTCTTATTTTTTTGGCAAGTGCCGTATGTTCTGAATTAGCTTGTAAAAATTATTTGTAATATTTAAAGATAGATATAAGGAAGTGTGGGTGCATTACAGTGACATTATCTAGTGAGCTCTCGCATTGTAATGATAGTGACCTTTTTTATTTGGCATAAGCATACCCCCACAGCCATAGTTAAATAGTTTCTAAGTTACGTAGCTACCTATATATCTATACTAATATTATAAAGAGGAAAGATTTGTTTGTTTGTTTGTTTCGAATAGGCTCCGAAACTACTGGACCGATTTGAAAAATTATTTTTCCATTAGAAGCCGACATTGTCCCTAATGAACATAGGATACTTTTTTTTATTATTTTTTTATTTTTATTTTTTTGGTTTCATGTGTGTTTTAATGTTTCCGAAGCGAAGCGAGGGCGGGTCGCTAGTAAATTAATAAAAGTGTTTGATAAATAATAATCTTTTATTGATGACGTTTGTAAATCGATGTTTTCTTTTATGATAGTATTTTGTGCTACTAATTGGTTTTCGAAGCCCATAGAACTCTCAACGTGGATGCCATCACCGACCTTGAGATATGGGATTTAATTTTCAATCAGTTTAACGACTGTTTCGTGTCTATGTTAATATCTGAGGGTGTACTGTGATGTCTATTGGTTCCGTTAATCGTTCAAAACGGTACACGATCCCTTGGCAAAGCCAAAAAAAAAACGATCAATAATAGAGTATTTCTTATGAATTGGGAGATATCATAGGAAAACTACTAACTAATTCATCGAGCAATGAGCGAGGTGGCTAGTGCATAATCATTTATTCACAATGCAGTCTACCCCGCCTGCTCAGTGTTGATTACTGCGCAAGGTTGCTTGAAATATTTGCCCAACCATATTTATTTTTCTGATATCTGGCTCAAAGAATTACCTGTTTTTTATTTGATGAAGAAGTGAGCAAAGGATGTATAGAAGTAAGAACTTATGAGTGAAGAATAAATGCAGTTGATTCGAAATAGCGTTTTTTATCTATCAATAAGTGTTTACGCCCAGAGGTTTCTTTTTTGCTGTCCGAAATAAAATAATGTGGTACACAATCTATAATATTATGGGTAGCATTCCAATTTACAGATGGTGTATACACGATTGAAGTTTTTTATCCCTGGTAGAGCGTGAAGTGGACGTACATAATGCAATAAAAATTAAAGGACTAGGAGGACTTTTAAATTAATAATATCTTTTACCGAGCGGACTTATTACTCAGTAAATCGATAGATATTCCTCTTGTTCTTCTTCTTGGGGACTTGGTTATTTATAGCAAGTTAATCTTTTGGATGTCTTTTAGCGGGATTCAGCCGGATTTTCCTATACAGTAGCCTTGACCTCTATTTATTTGATTATCTAAAGTGACATACTGTGAAGCGAACAGAAAGACAGTGCGGAGAAATAATTAAATTTATAACAATAAAAACGATTTTTTAGAGTACGTCGCGTAGCGTCGTGGCATTTGTATTAATTTTTTAAAGTACATACGTCTATGGCATATTGAAATTTACTAAAGTCAATGCGAGCTCATTTTGTATATATTTAATGTTGAAAAATCCCCAAACAAATTAATGAGATTTTTTTTTTAAAGAACATATAGAGTTATTGCGTCGTCTAAATTTAACTTATGATATTAATTGTAGTTCTATTAAAGTTGTCCCTTTATAATTTGTTTGGGAGTTTTACATATGCTTCGAAGGCTGATACTTATTTCATGAATACTTTAAAGTCTCAGTTTCATGGAAAGTGTATTACGTAACTTAAATTACTTTAAATAAGATGGTTTTACATTTTCGATGATAGACAATGTAATTTGTAAATTGTGTTTGTTTGAAATTATAGAAAATTCAAGAAAGTTAAAAATATATTTAAATTTAAAACATAAACATAACATGACAATGATAGAAGCAAGAAATCAAATACATATTAAAAAATACTGTTCGCACAACAACAACAAACATTTAACCACTATCAATTTTTAATAATGGCAATTTTTTTTTTGTTGGAGTTTACTCCTTTAGAATCGATTTACATATATAGGCCCGGGGTATGAAAATTATGGGGACCAAAATCGTACTAGCATGTCACACGAAATGCGTTATGCGCCTGATTGGCTCCTGATTGCGTGATGCGTGCGCGCGCCAATCAGGAGCCAACGCGCGGCCGCGTTATCGCAGGTGACGCCGGGCTGCTGCGCCGGCAGTCCGCCACAAAGCCTCGTACTGATCGCGCGTTTCTCTCATTATTGTATTTTCATATATTTGTTAGTCGTTTGTTTTGTGTCTCGTTAATTTGTTAATAATCTGTAGTGTATCGTGTTGTCGTAATATAGAACTATTTCTCGTATTGTTTCGTTTAATTTTTTAATGATATTTCAAGAAGTATTTACTATTTCCAATTCTTTTACTGATAGATAAAGCTCACTATTAGGTCAAAACGATTGAAAAATACAAGAGAAAAAGGGACTAACTGTAATTTTTAATTGTCCGATTATCATGAAATGGTTATTTATTACGAAATAAATCGTATAACGACCTAATAATCTGTTTCATATAAAAAAGATAGCTTAAAAATAACGCTTTTG